TGTTCTATAGTAGGGACTCTTGACACGGTTGAATGTAATCTGGATTTTAGATAAAATAACACAGAATAAAACTTCTGTGTACAGAGTCTGTTGATTTGACTGGAGACTACATACCATAATTACTGGAAATTAAGCCTTAAAAAAATCTAACAACTGACAAACAGAATTACATTTAAAGATCAAAGACAGATGTAAGTTTATTAATCCTTAGAACATAGGATGTCCTCCTTGACACTTCAGTCTCAAAAACCACACCAAAGAGTGTGGTTCATATTATACTGTTCATATTATTACTTTGCAATATATCTTAGAACTCTATAGCTAGTAAAAAAAAGGACATAAAAGCCACTAGCCAGAGGGCTCACTTGGTAATGTGGCAGGACAACTAATGAAGGAGTGGCTCTATACACAGTCTCCCTGAGAGCTGTGAGCAGGGAGCCCAATGCACCTCCCTAAACTTGTACCCTCCTCCAGGAATAGGCAGTTTGGTATGGTGAGGATGAGCAGTCCTGAGCTAGACATGACTGCCACTAGCTATGAGAATTCTTGTAAGTCAGCCTCTCTGATTCTCAGTTTCACTGTAGAGAAATTGAGTAATAAAAGTTTTAAGGTCTCAGAGGCTCTAAAATGATTTCACTCCCTATGACTTTCATGTTTACCCTATTTTTCAGAGAGTTTTGTTGAGGATCAAACAATAACAGCAGCTTGTATTTGTATAAAAATTTATAAAGTGCTTTCATTACAGATTTTCTTCATTACATTAGGAAAGTATGGAAACAGTTTTGAGATACAATATAAAATGTTTACTACATGGTGAGGCATTTATATGGGCTATGCCCTACAATTTAACAAAAAATATTAAAATTATCATTTTCTTTCTTATAAAAATTACTCAGCGAAGATGCTATAGTTTTAATTTTTATAGGATTAGCTGATTTGTTATTAAGAACTTAGAGTAACAGTTTAATGAACAGTTCCTAAAATAAGCATCTCATAGGAGCTGTATCCAAGTTTTCTGGATAAAAGTAACCTATTCCTCATACAGATGTCAGCTGTATTCAAAGAAAAGAAACATTTTAGAATATCCCTTTTATATTTATTCCTTGAATAATTCTTTAACCTAGAACAGCAGTGCCCAACCTTTTTGGCACCAGGGCCCAGGTTCGTGGAACAAAATTTTTCCATGGATTGGGGGCAGGGGATGAGGAAAAGGGAAAAGCTTCAGGATGAAACTATTCCACCTCAGATCAGGCATTAGATTCTCATAAGGAGCTCACAGCCTAGATCCCTCACATGCGCAGTTCACAGCAGAATCTAATGCTGTCTCTGATGTGACAGGAGGCAGAGTTCAGGCAGTAATGCTCCCAGCCCCACCACTCCCCTCCTGCTGTGCACCTGGGGGTGTGGGGACAGGGGGTAGGGTGGGTAGGTACTCCTGATCTAGAGAATAAAGTGTGAATTCGTCAGTGTGGTATGATCTGAACCCAATCTACCTCTGCAAACTTAGTTCTCCTTAAACACATTCATCTCAGCTTTTCCAGTTAAACCAACACCCAAACCACTCCTTAGCCATGTCAAGCACTCTTGTATGTATTGTTAAAAGAAAAAAGTTATTCTATGATACTTGTGAAAGCACAATAAGAAAGGCTTTATTCAGGGCTACTGCAATAGGTACAGGGGCTACCGAAATACGTACAGGGACCACTGCAACGAGATACTGTAGTTGGGGAGAAAGATCGGCTGAACTCTAAATACAGCATGGGCAAATGGGAAAGAAGGAAGTTGAGAGAAAAGGAGTAATCAAGAATGGCAGTTGGGCATGGTGGCTCATAACTATAATCCTAGCACGTTGGGAGGCCCAGGCAGGAAGATCACAAAAGTCAGGAGATCGAGACCATCCTGGCTAACACAGTGAAACCCCATCTCTACTAAAAATACAAAAAATTAGTTGGGTGTGTTGGCACACACCTGTAGTCCCAGCTACTTGAGAGGCTGAGGCACAGGAGAATTGCTTGAATTCAGGAGGCGGAGGTTGCAGTGGGCTGAGATCATGCCACTGCACTCCAGCCTGGGCAACAGAGTGAGACTCCGTCTCAAAAGAAAAAAAAAAGAAAAAAAGAATGGCTCCCAGTTAAGATATCCCTAAACAACTGGGTATATGGTGCTGTGGAGTACTGGGATTAGGAAGACTTGGTAGTAGGAAGACAAGGAGGTAGAGGGAAGGGTTTTTGGGGCAAAAAAATAAGAGTTCTATTTGAATAGGTAAAGTTTGAGACTATTTTAGCTCTCCTTTCCCTCTTTATTCTTGGGACATTTTGTTTACACTGTGATTTCAGAATTTGTCACATTCCGACTTAATTTGTTGCATACTTATTTGTCTTCCTAGCCAGACTAGAGGTTCCTGAAGACAGAGACTCTAACATTCACTCCATATGCTAACAAGAGGGCATTAAACAAAGTGGTCACTTAAAATGATTTTAGAATGAATAAATGAAGTATTCTAGAAATTGTGAGGAATACAAACCAAAGAAGAGAGAAATGCTTACTTTTCTAGTAGTCTCCATTATCTAGAACTCAGCTTGAATAAGGTCAATAGAAGTTACAACAGAACATAAACCCACTTGAGAGTATAGTACTCTAGCATGTAAACCCACTTACACATGTAAAATCAACTCCTACTCTTAAGTCTCCTAGGATGAGCGCTACTGGGCTCATACTTACTAGCTCTGTGTAAATAGCTTTCTCTTATACGGTCCAAAGCAAACATTGACAGATATGACTTGCATCTTTCAGACAGGTTTCCAGTAAAATTTTTATTTTTAAACACTCCATTTACATGATTTGTTTTTGTAGTTATGTATTTCAGATTCTAATAGATTATTTGTACAATCAACATTTAATTATTTAACCACTTTATAAACTGATTTGAACACTGAATAGAACCACAGAATTTTTAAGACAGAATCTCACCAAAGCCAGAGCCCTCATTTATCTGGAGGGACGAGAAAACTCTGACCTGAAGAAACTGCTCAAGATTCTACATTTAGAAATAGAGTTAGGTCTGAAAATTAGCTCACCTGGTTCCTAAGGCAGGATTTTTTTCATAAAGTCTGGCTTCTTAATAAAAAATTAATTTGGCCATTTTGAAGTAGACTACATATTATGCTTTTGCAATTTTTCTGTTCAGTGATATCTCAATGACATATCTAAGAAAGATATGCCTTAAAATGAGGTTAGGCATATTAGTAACAAATGGCTTAATGGCCATGCTTCTGAGATAGTATGTGCAGGTATATAAATAACTCTCTTATGGCCTACATGGCGGTGAAAGCTGAAGGGAAATGGAGCCAATCCTATGTATAATTGTGACGTTTGAAAGGCTTGCCTTTATCATATCCAGCTTTCCCTTTATTCCTTATCTGTCTCAGTGGTAATCCTTCTTCCCATTTCAAAGGACTTCCTATCTATTCCCTCTGCTATTTCCCTTTACAAAAAATGATAAAAAAATTATATATCTATTATCTATATCTTGTTGGGAGACAGACATAAGATACTGCTTAAATGAATTTTAAACAGTATATTAACTCAACCAGATATTTACCTTCTAAGCCTTTAATCCTGGATTGTGGAATAAAAAATTTGTTCCAAGACAGTTGGTAAGGATAGAGTGGTAGAGAGAGGATCCCTCCTTTCTAGTTATAAAAATGACAAGTTCTGAAACCAAGCCAAGTATCTATTTAGAGTGAAAAGAACAAGTCTAAAGAGGTAGTACATAATGCAGCTCCACTGGAAATAACAATGCCCAATACTATTACTTTGAGTTTCTGGCATCTATCTGGAACCCTCGAAATTAAAAATTTCTAAGGTTTGAGGTATTTGTTATGAATTATTATAGTGATTTGAAATTAGATTTCAAAGTAGTTCAAAGTTAGCTTATACATATTCATCATGTTTACAATACAAATATGTTATATTCATACAGCGCCTTATGCTTACAGTGTTTTCATATATGCTATCTCATTTAAACTTCAACAATATATAATGTAAACATCATTTTCAGTTTTCAAATGAAGAGTCTAAAGTTTGCAGGTAATAAGGGTTATAAACGGCACAGCCCAGGTGGAACATAAGAGTTGTGAATCCAGGTATTTTCTCACTATAACATGTAACCTATACAGCAATATTGAAGTAACTTGTATATGTAAATTCCAAATACTTTCAAGGTAAAAACGTGGTATACATGTCCCCAAATTTCTAAGTAAATTATGTTGATCTTCTCATACTCAAATTTTCTTCTTATAATTTTTGTGGAAGATAATTGTTTAGTTATTTCCAGGTTTCTTACCTTTCTGAAATAATTCAGTAACAAAAAAAATAATGTCAAAAACATATAGCTAGTGACCAGAAAAAGTCATCTTTCAATACCACAAACATTTCTCACTTAGGTATTTTTCCTTGGATATCCTTTGAAAACCATATTCAAACTCACTTAAAACATTAGCCAAATAATTGTATAGTTCACTTGTGATTCAGTATAGTTTTGTACAAGTTTTTTTGCATATTTTGTTAATCTGCCCTTTAATGGGATATGATATCACTACAGGCTGCATCCTATTTCTGCCGAAATGTATTTTACCTTGGCTTTCCTTGAAATGAATTATAACATGGGATTATCCATCTATGATGGGTTCTTTATCTAATTGGGAAACTGAATCAGATTTAACATCAAGATTTAACAGGCTTAAAACTCAGGTTTTGCTAGTTTTAAATTATTATCTGTTAATAGAACATAGGTTCAATGTATCTACTGTTACCAGATCCAAACTTACTTTTGAAATAAGTTCGGTGATTTTAAGGAAAAAAGAGATGCTAGAATAGAATTCATCAAGTGTGAAAATCGACAATTATGAGCTTTATTTCTAAAAAAGGAAGTGACATTCATCAAACAAAATGAGCATCTGCACATTTAAAAGAATTGCAAAAGGAAGAAAGGGGCTCACCGGTCTGAGTGAAACCAAACTGATGTAGAATCTCTTGGGTGGTCAGCGTGTTTGACTGCTTTAACTTAGACTGTTGTGAGGAAACTGCTGGTGGTGAAGTAAATGAGAGATTTGTGTTGACCTGTATTAGGAAAAACAAATCAGAAAGTACAGTGTAATTTCCTGGATTACTGATGCAAAAATTGGATGAGAAATATTTGTTTATTATACAAACCAGGACATATGGTAAGTTAAAAGGAGTGGTCATGATTTACATGGTTAGTTTGTAAAGTTTACCAAAGAGAATCATTTTCAACAAGGAAAAAAAATATAACTGTAATGAAAACATAGCTATATGAAAATAAATCAGCCTTACTAAAATTTACTATGGAACTGACATTATTAATAACTTAGAGTGGTCTTAAGTTATGCAAAGAATGCAAAAAATAAAAATGACTTCTTGATTGTTTCAATTAAGAAACAGTAAAAACGTTTCACGTTCAAATCTCTCTAGCATTTTAGTGAAATAGCATGTGCTTCCTTTTCAGAGACAGACAGAAAACACCTGTATACTCATGTTTATACACATCACGGTGACACAGATAACACAGCTGTAATCTAACTTGCATGTGAAATAGTTTCCATTGCATCAAAACACCCTATTCTTAGGATACTGTTTAAGCATATCGTTGAAATAACAGTCAAGCAAAATTTCTGTAAGTGAATACAATGTTGTAGAACATATAAACCTAGTATGATTATCCGAGTGCACACTAGTCTCACAGAAATAAAATGCACAATAAACGACACTTTATAACTACAGCTCTTGTAGGAAACTAAAGAATAGTTCACTAAAAAAGCCTAAAGTGTTTATAAGTAAATTCATCTTGTCCATCAGAATTAGTTCCAGAAAAAAAAAATCTTTTTAAAATTATTAACAAATCTTTCCTTATATCTGCTTTACTACTTTCAAGAAGTGCAACAAAATGTGACCTATTTTGGGGAAATTGATAGTCTGGTTTTCTAATTCATTTAAAAAATGTAATCTATAAATTAACAAAATAATAATTTATGGCATAAAAATATTACCATATTAAAACAGCCCCTTTCCCATTTTTTGTTTAAATAATAAAAACCATACAGAGGACTCTGTGCAAGAATTTAAAAATTCCCTTTTGATGTTCTATATAATATAATACAGGGCTCTGGTTACATGCCCTTTATCTGATTCATCATTTCCATGTTTGTAATCTTTTTTTTCTTTTTTTTGCTTTTAAACAGTGATAATAAACAGTATACTTCAGTTTAGGTTTTTCTCTCAGAGCAAATTTGGTAAAAAGTCAATTAAGACCATATGTTAATATAGTTATAAAGTGCCTAAAATATTATGTCATTTCATTAAAAAATAAAAGTATTTTCCAAAGTAGTTGGAGGGGTCAAATACCACATCAGTCCTAAAATATTATCCAGCTTTAAAAATTCTATCAAAGTCCACTGAACACAGATCAAAATTGACTATTTTAATCTACAATACTTAAAACAAACTTATTTAGTATTTTTGAGCTTTATTTTCCATCTTTAAATGGAGATAAGAAAAATAATATCTATGCTTCAATGGGAATGTGCAAGAAAGCAATAATGACAAACTGGTATCATAAAGTGCTATTCATAGGTGAACCAACAAGCACTAAAGAATATTAAATAAGAAATAGTTTAAACAGAATATATTGGCAAGGGCAAACCATATAGTAGTATATAAATAAGATGTTATATTAATTATTATTAACATCACTAGAAGTAAGGGTAATTAGGTATTTATAATGTAGTATGATAATGTAGTCCATTTTTATGAGTTCTGTACTTTCAAATGGAAAAGAACATAGTTATCACTTAATTATTTCATTCACTTCTATTTGGAATCGTTTCTCAGTTTTACTTTTTTGTTCTTGAACATTTTTATCTTAAATATCAAATAATGTATTTAAAAATCTGCTGCAAATAGGCGTATGCTGTGGAAGTGAAGATATATACACATATATGCACACACATACACATACCTACATTATCCATATATAGATATGAATATAGATATAGATATATACACACAATAGCCATTTATCGTCTTCCTCTTCAGAAATTTGTGTTAAAAACAAAAAAATACCAGGAAAACCAAAATAGGATATTTGAATGCCTCGACTTGCCATTCTTTTAAAACAAAATTAAAAAAAAACTATAATCTATAATTATATGTTCTTCCTAAACATTTTTATAATTCTGATCGTTCTTGACTATTTTTTAACAGACTATTCAAATGTCCATAAAGTAATGAGAGTAGCAATGTAACAGAGCAGATAACTTTAATTTCTAAGGTTTGGGGTAACTGTTAATCATTATTGTTATTATTAGCAATTTTATTTGAAATTAGAACTTAAAGCATTTTCAAGGCTAGCTTGTACATATTTATTATTTCATTTAGAGGAAGAAAAAGAATAATAGCCATTAAATAGAGTGAAGCAATATCTATTTTTGAAATATATGCTGTGGAAAAGAATTGCTTAATAATTTTACAACAACAGAAAGGTTGGTTAAGATAGTCTGCCCTGCGCCAATCTACCCTCTTTTCACAACACACTTTTCTGTTTGCTTCATGCAAAAACCACAGTCTGCCAAAGTCAGTTTAATACCTCCATATTGGAGAAAACTAAAAGTATAAAAATTTAATATAATTCTTAATAAAGAAAAAAATATCACCTGGAACTTCTGCCAAGTTAGTCACAAAACTGTTTTGCCTACTCTTTTAGGGTATAAACAGACAAGCAAAATATGCAAATACTAATTCTTTAGAAAGGGGTTAATTTTCATGTTAAAAAACTTGCTGCTCTAAACATAAAATGGAACGCACAATATTAAGAAAGCAGACAATTAGTTTCTCTTTTAGTGATTAAAATTTAAAAGCTTTGGGAGAGATACAGTACTCATTTCCATATATACTTACAAGTCTAACCTTTTAGCTAATTTTAGATTACATGCTGCATTCATCTGAAGTAGAATTGTTTATGAAGTTTGAAGCTGTGAAGACACCTCAAGCTGGTTTTAAATTACAACCAAGAGAATGTTAATGCTGTCTGCATACTTAAAAGTTCACAAATTCATCTCTCTCTCCCAGACAGTTGTTATATTTTTCTACTAATCTGAACAATAAGGCAGATAATATTTTAATCTGATGGTAGTTCTGATGGCATTAGAAAAAAGAAACCAATAATACCCGGGAAACTTTTTTTGCAAATCATGTATCTGTTGTAAAAATTAAAATACCAGTATCAAAGAAAAAGTTACACACAAAACTTGAGCCAAAGTGAGGTTTAAGATATTTGAAGTCAGATATCTTTTACATTCTCATAATATAAATATTAAGAGTAGCTTATGCTACTTGTGATTTCTAGCTTAGTAAAGTCAAAGCAATGAGTAGCCTATGGTATTATAAACAGCAATTCAAATATGACCTCTTGGCCCTCAGATGTTTTCTTTACAAGCCAAGATAGAGATATGAGGGATTTGGAAGAAAACACTGTAACTGCTAAAGAAAAATTTCTACAGCAATAAGATGCCAGAAAATCTTACTCCCAAACCAGTTCATTACTATTACGTTAGCTAAAATCAGTATTCAAATTTGAATCAGTCACTGTAATGTCTTTTGGGTAATATTTAATCAGGATTTTTGAACCTCTGATAGGTGCCAAGGACTGGTGGTTCATAGATTACTGATATGATTCCTTCAGGTGAATTTTAAAATTAAGATCTAGTCCTGGCTTAAACCAATTATCCAGCAATATTCCTTAGGTTAAAGCAATTGACCTCAATGCATCTTGTTTTTCTCAAAACCTTTACCTCTTTTTCTCTCTTAGTCCACTGCCTTACTTCACAGAAAAAATTTTGATCTTAAACCCCTGAACTTCTCATTTCCAAACTTATAAAAGAATGCACCTCTCATACCTATCCTCATGTCTTTACTTCTAGGGTCAGAGGAAGAGGAGCATTCTGTTCAGGATTCATCCCTCAGTCCCCTTAGGGATATCCTTAAAGCTCTTCCAAATTCTACTTTCAGGCCAGGCACAATGGCTCATGCCTATAATCCCAGCACTTTGGGAGGCTGAGGCAGAGGATCACTTGAGTCTAAGAGTTTAAAACCAGCCTAGGCAACATAGTAAGATCTCATCTCTACAAAAATAAAAATAAAAAAATTAGCTGGGTGTGGCAGTGCACACCTGTGGTCTCAGCTACCCAGAAGGCTGAAGCAGGAGAACTGCTTAAGCCCAGAAGGTCGAGGTTGCACTGAGCCGTGATGACACCACTGCACTCAGCTTGGGTGAGCGTAGACACTGCTTCAAAACAAAAAACAAATGGTACTTTCAAATTCCTACTGGCTATCTCCCCACAGGCTAGAAGCACAGACCCTTCTCTTCCAGTACAGAAACAAAGAGCAAACAAACCAACTGAAACCCTCCCTCTGATTCCATTATGTCCTTAACCTTCGTTAAAAGCTAAACTCCTTGAAAAACAGCACACAACTGTGATCCATATATCTGAATCCTTTAATCTTCAACTGTCAACAACAAAGCTTGTCTCATGATAAAACTAAATCTGGACTGAGGGTAACCCTGGAGTTCAAATGATCAAATTCAGCAGATTGACTTGGGCCTCTATCTGCTACCGCCATTGATCCTTCTATCTTTGTTTCTGGGGAGCCATATTTTCTTCATTATCCTGCTATGTCTAGCTGTTCCTCATCAGTGCTATTTGTTAGATCCACTGAGCTCTTCTTCTTCCTTCACATCACATAGTTACATTGGGCAGAAACATTTTTCACCAATTCACCTGCTTTCTAATGCTGATGTTTTTTAAATCTAAAACACATCTCCTGATCATTAAGTTAAGAACTAAACTAACCTTTGCCCTGCTGTTTACTTTCTTAGGGAAAGCTATCATTCTCCACCTACTTGCCAAGGCTAGAAAGCTGGGACTCATACTAGATTGCTCACAACATTGCACATAGATTACTGTAGTTGGTACTACTCCTCCAGTTAAGCTGTCTTCCAAATCGTGTCAAAATAATACATCTTTTTTTAACTTTTATTTTAGGTTTAGGAGTGCAAGTGAAGCTTCGTTACAAAGGTAAACTCGTGTCACAGGGACTTGTTGCATGGATTATTTCATCATGCAGGCATAAGTCCAGTATCCAATAGTTATCTTTTTTGCTCCTCCCACTCTTTGCCCTCCAGTAGACCCCAGTGTCTGTCTGTTGTTTCTTTTTCGTGTTCCATAAGTTCTCATCTTAATTTGCAGTTATCCAGTTTTGGAATGCCATGAAAAAAATAATTAATTTTTAAACCTTTTTTTTTTTTTTTTAGAATCCTTCCCAAATAACAGAAAACCACTACTCTACTCAAATCTCAAAAATATCCAAATATATGTTTTAAATAGAAGAATTTAAAAATTATTTTCTCTAGATTCTCTATTTTTTAAACCTTTAAAAAAATGATTTCAGTGAATAATGTGTTCTGAGATGAATTTGACTATATTCACTACACTGCTTAAGCAAAGTGGTCTTTCTGCTCCTTGAGCATGCCACTTTTCTTCCTAGATTAGGATTTTTGCAGGACATGACTAGCTCCTTGTCAAGTGTTTCTCTCAGTAAGGCCTTCTATGATCATCCTCTTGAGAGTAGCTTCCCCGTCATTCTTTGTCCCATGAACTTCTTTTATTTTCTTCACATCACTTATTATTTGAAACTACCTTACTGGTTGCTTTTTAAGATTATTTGTCTCTCTACAATAAAAGGTTCTTGTTCACTATTATATTCCAAGCAATTAGAAAAATACTTGGTAGGTACTCAATAAATACTTGCTTAAAGAATGCTAGTGGAAAAAACAAGTGAGCCTTCAACAATATAAAAATACTCTAGAAGGGAAAAAAACTCATATAATGGACACCTTGTGAAAATTTATTATCCTAGATCTAATAGATGAGAAACTGCCTAAATATACCTGCTGTTAAGATTAAAGACTTTTGCCAAGGGTGCTAGCACTGTATATGGGCAAAGCACTCTTTGCAATAAGCAGTGCTGAGACAGCTGGACAGCCTCATGCAATAGAATGAAAGTGGACCTGTCCATCATATCATATACAAACGTTAACATGAAATATTCACAGGCCTAAATGTAAGATTTAAAACTACAAAAATCTTAAGAAGAAAACATAGGAGTCAATCTTTGTGACACAAGGCTAGAAAATGATTTCTTCTATGCAACACAAAAAGTACGAGTGACAAAAAAAATAAACTGAACTTCATAAAAAGTAAAACCCTTTGTTTCAAAAGATACTATCAAGAAAGTGAAAGGACAACCCACAAAGTGGGATAAAATATTTGCAAATCATCTAGCTCATAAGACACTTGTATCTAGAATATATAAACAACTCAAAAGTAAACAATAAAAAGACAAAAAAAATCCCAATTTTAAAATTGGGCAAAATATTTGAACAGACATTTCTCCAGAAAATAAAAGTACAAATGGCACATAAAAAATGCTCAACATCATTAGTCATAAAGAAAATGCAAATCAAAATCACAATGATACAACCACCTTTCACCCACTAGGATGGCTATAAAGATGTGAATACAGGTGTTGGTGAGGATAAGAAGAAATTGGAACTTCATTCATACATTGCTGGTGGAATTCTAAAATAGTTCAGATGCTCTGGAAAATGTTTTGGGAGTTCTTCAAAATGTCAAACATATAACCCAACGGTTTCACTCCAAGATACATATCCCATAGAAATGAGAATATACATCCGTGTCAAAACTTATACACACAATGTTCACAGGATTATTACCTTAACAGCTAAAAAGTAGAAACAAATCAAATGTTCAAAAATTGATCAAATATAACAATATATAACCTATTTGTACAATGAAATCTTACTTGGCAATAAAAAGTAGTGCAGTTGACCCTTGATCAACATGGGTTTGAACTGTGCAGGTCCACTTACAGGTGGATTTTTTCCAGTAAGTTACACTAAGTGTGCCAGCCTCTCCTGCCTCCCCTCCCCAATTCTCCACCTCTTCTGCCTCTACCCCCAATGAAATAGCAAGACCTAACCCTCCTCTTCCTCCTTAGGCTATTCAATGTGAAGAGAAAGGAACACTGCTATGATGGTTCACTTCACTTAATGAATAGTAAATGTATTTCCTCTTCCTTATAATTTTCTTAATACCATTTTCTGTTCTCTGGCTTACTTTAAGAATACAGTATATAATACACATAACATATAAAATATGTGTTAATTAACTGTTTATCAGTAAGGCTTCTAATCAACAGCAGGCTATGAGTACTTATATTTTTCGGGAGTCACAAGTTATACATTGATTTTTGACTGCACAGGGAGTTGGTCCCCAACCCCAGAGTTGTTCACCGATACATGTTACAAATAGAGGAATCCTGAAAACATTATTTTGAGTAAAATATGTCAGTTACAAATGATTACATATCATCTGACCCCATTTATATGAAATGTCCAGATTAGCCAAATCTATAGAGAAAGTATATTAATGGCTACCAGGAATTTTTCCAAGAGTTTGTATTTGAAGTGTGTATGTGTAGGAATTGAGGAAATGACTGCTAAGAGATATGGGGCTTCATTCAGGGGTGATGAAAAAGCTCTAAAATCAGATAGTAAGGATGGTTGCAAAACTTTGTGAATATGGCAAAAACCAGTGAATTGTATACTTTAAAAGAGTAAACACTATGGTATGTAAATTATAGCTCAATAAAACTATTATAAAAAAGAATAACTGAAGATACTAAGTTAATCTTTCTAGACACTGATTAATTTCCAAATTAACATTTTTTTCAATGAGTATTTATTCTACCTTTATTAAATACTAGGGATATGATGATGAATGGCATGGTCCCTCACCCTGGGGGAGTTTCCAGATTAGTAGAGGCTGTTCTCCATAAAGCCTTGCTCAATTTGTGCAGGACACTTTACTCTTTAAACATTCAGACAGCATTGCAAAAGAAGAGTATGCAGCACATTCATTAAAGAGAAATAGCTTTGAATTGCTAGTCAGAAAATAAATTATATTTTTGCCTCCAATTTTATATACAATGCATGCTTAAGAAGGTTTAGTAATCTTGCAGCTACAATCATTACACCAATCATTGCTATCAGGAACATTTCCTGAACATCTGCAGCCCAAGTCAGAATACAGCTTGTTCTCTTTCCCCCCCCATCTTCCTTCCCCTTGTCTATATTCCATATCCTGTTGACTCGTGATAATTAGGTATAAAAGTGATGGGTTCTGACTGATGCTGGACAGCTCAGTGATGGGGTAAGCCTTGTATCTTGTATTTTCTGACACATTCCTCCCTCCCTAAGATGCCTCCTGAGGAAAGAGATAATATCCTACTGTATTCCAAGTGCCTACCAAATGTTGGTATCTGCTGTATTAAAAAAAATTTTCATTACATTGATATTATATGGAGCAGTCTTTAAATATACTAACACCATTCTAATTCTTTCCTTCTGGATGTTTTACCTTTTCTTTGTGATATATAATTATATCTGTTAAATGAACAGATGTCTAATTATTTAACTGAATTTTGGGAGTGGACAGAAGAACAGGGAAGAATGAACACATGTTGCCATTCCAACTCCTTGATTTATTTTCCCAACACCTAAGTTAAAAGTTAGACATAAAATAAGCTTCCTTGAAAAAGGAAGTTGCCATGCTACGCTATGTTGAAAACATCAAGGATACAATTTAGTTGAAATTGTTTAATAATCAAGAGCCTTTTTGTACACTACCATTTTTAGACTAACTTGGGAACTTGGGCGAATCACTTAACCGCAATTAACATCAGTCTCCTCCTTTCTAAAACTGGAATAACAATTATATCTAATCAATTTCTCAGGAGTATTATACAGTATCGTTAAATGAGAAGGGAAAAGTGAAAGACTTATAAATGAAGAAGAGCATTATCAGTACAATAAATCTTTTGTGTACAGCCTGTATGCATTTCAATGCTTATACAGTTTACTCAGCATTTACCCACTGGAACTATATTGATTGGTCTCTTTTACAAATTAAATATCATACAAAATTTTTCTCAGAGAATGAAATGACCTTGTTGATCCCTTACTGAAAGTATATCTCAATCAATCACTTAGTATTCTCAAATATTGATCATCCTTACTGAAATCTCAGGTTCCAGGATTGTAATTCTTTGATAAACCTGAGCTCCAATAACGAAAGTACACTTCAGATTAGCTTTTATAAAGGTACCAAACTCTATGAATGGTGCATTCCAATTCTCTGGTGCACCACTATACCTTTAAAGTTATCTTCCGGGTAAAAGCAACTTACTTTTGTAGCACAGGATCGTATCACCTCCTAAAAGAAATACAATACAATAAGGAAGTATTCATAATTTCATTAAATAAAGTATTGACTGTTTTCAAAACACTCAGATGTTAATCTTCTAATAACCTAAATCAACATTTCTAAGTTTCTTTATCCATTATCCTGCAGTTGTCACTCTGCATTGTTTCCAATGAAAGAGACTTAATGACATATTCAGGGTGAATCTAACTTGCCCAAACAAATGGCAATCAGAAACTTTTGAGGGCTCACAGGTATCTGCCTCAAGAAAAACTTGCTCTTCAATCAATAGAATAATAAAACTATATACTAGAACCCTAACAGGTATAAAAGACACATGCTAAGTTAACTGTAATATATAATTATCTCTATAAATAACAATAACCATAAACAGAATTCCCATATTATTTGTATCAAATGAAGTCTAATATTAAATAGTAAATACTACTAAGTGATAAAATATATGACTAGGATCGAAGGAGCTACAGAAAGAAGCTATGTACAATTCTTGCTACAAGACCAAGAAAAGATCATTTTGAAAGAGACACTAGTAAAAGTCAATGTATTATGGAGAACTTGAAAATCTGCTGCTAAGGAGATACTAAAAATACTCAAGTCCAATTAGGAGTTAACCAGCATGTATCACCAGTCTAGTACAGAACTAGTAAAAAATGGTCATAATCAACATGGAGTTCAGAAAAAAAAGAGAACTAAAAAGTAGATAATTCAGTTATTTGGAGCAATACCATTTAGTCATAATATAAATCATTTAATTATTTCATAATTAGCATACTTGAGTGCATGTTGCTGCTGCAGCAATACCTACAAGCATTCTGCAACCCAGGTAAGACCTCACAGGTGGATATTATCTTGAGAACCTTGGTATATTTCATTCTAAGTTTTTAGATCCAGAAATTAGATTTTATCAGTGCATCCAGAGTTACAATTCTAGAGTATCTATTAATTTTTTACCTAGAAATTTCTAAGGGGCAGATACCATGTTTAAAGCATATCTATCAGTAATTCAGTCACTAAAAGGAGACAGCAAAACTGACCATTTTTTACTAGTTCTGTACTAGACTGGTGATACATGCTGGTTAACTCCTAATTGGGAGTCCAACCACCTGGGCTGAATCCCAGCTCCAGTGCTTACTACTTGTGTGATCTTGGTTGTGTGGCTTGATATCTGTAAGCCTTAAATTCCTCTTCTGGAAAATGGGAACAAAACTCATCCCTATAAGATGGTTTGAGGATTAAATACAATAAAATGTAAAGCATTTAGCACAGTGCCAGAAATAGATCCATTATTACTAATAATTAAACAGACATTAGTTATCATTAATTAATATATAAGGTGGTATCTCCTGTGGGGTAGAGAAAATTAATCAATCTTTTTTCAAAACTGGCATAAAACATTTTCAAACCTGTCCAATCCATACCCCTATGACTCTGCTTAGCAATCAATTCCGTGATCATTAGCCTGGGCTTCAGGTTAAATTTAGATAGGGAGAGATCTTGAGTGTTCAGCCTGCCAGAATGGTCTACCTTTTATTATATTATCAGATGTATTTTAATGGATTCTCATTTATTAATCAACTTTTTGTAGGATTGAGTAACCTTAAATAGATACTACAGATTGGGAGCAACTCTGGATGCACTGATTACAGCCAAATTTCTGGATCTGAAAACTTAGAATGAGATATACCAATGCTGTACAGGATACTGTCTACCCGTGAGGTCCTACCTGGGTTGCAGAATGTTGTTAGGTATTGCTGTGGCAGCAACATGCAGTCAAGTATGCTAATTATGAAATAATTAAGTGATTTATATTATGACTAAATGGTAATGTTCCCGATAACTGAGAATTATCTATTTTTTGTATCCTTTACTCATTAATGCCTAAACATCTATTATATACCTACTGAACTAAATTTATTATGCAACTCACTCAGACATACACAAAAATAATCATACTCTAAACCTACAACATAATTTATTAGAAAAACATTCCTATTGTAATAACGAAGAAATAAAAAAGGAATTTGGGATCTACTGAAATGCAATTGCAAGAAACAACAGAAAAGGCATAATGACAAAAGGTGGGACTTCAGTTAACCTAAATGCTTGCAAAATATAGAATGAGGCTGCCATGGGAATAAAGACAACATTGTTTTTATTTCCATACATACTAGGCATATTCTGAAAGAAAATACATTGCAGATAGCATCCAAAAAAATAAATTCAGTGAAATCTCTCAATAAAGGAAAAATAATGGTTTTCAAAAACCAAAGCAAAAGCTTTCATTTCCAAGGGCAGCTTCTATCTATCTCAATACCAAAGTAGACACATTCTCTAAATAATTTTAAAAAGAAAAGATATGGAAAAGGTAAATAAAGTAATAATTTGAAGTAAGTTTTTTCTTTTATGATAAATTATCCATTTACTTCTCCCTTGCCTTTGATTTCATTTAAAAAAAAACATTTTTCTGATTTTATTCTTCCTTTACATCTGCTTCCTTTAGTTCTCACATCTTTTTATTTATCTGAGGATGACAAGTATATAAAATTAAATTAGAGAAAAGCTATAAGACTTAGGTGATTCCAGGATATTGTTTTATAGTATAAAGACCGACAGATTATAGAAAAATTGCTTTTTACATCTGTTGGTGAGTTGTTTTTACTTCTGCAGATGAAGTTACTTTGCTATGCAAGGTTTTAGAGAAGGAAGGCATTTTTTTTTCCCGGTTAAAAAAAAATGTTTCTCTTCATTTTTAAAACTCAGTGTATCTATTCAGACTTCCTTTTAAAATTTGGAACACAATGCATTATTTGATTACATTAAACATGTTGAAATAAAAAGAACTACAATATTGAAATAAATTTATTATAGTTATATATTCTAAAATTTAACTGAGAAACATAATTTTTTTCTTATATTCCAACATATATTCTGGGTTTAGGGTAAATCTAAGCCCAGAGATGGAGTGTAATCTGCATCCTGGTACACCTTCAAGTCTCTAACTTTATAAAGAAAAGGAGAAAGGAAGAGAGCATAGTCAGAACCAAAGCTGTCTCAATGTATTCCTTGAATATTTAGTTTAAAATTAATTGAGATCTCTATCAAGGGAGCAGGAAAAGGGATTATATTTATTAAGTGACAGACATTGTACCAGAAGGTAAGAATAAAACAATGAACAAGGCTGCACAGGCCCTGTCTTCAAGGAGCTCAAAGTAACTCTAATAAAAGGACTTCTACTTAATTCTACTGAAAGTATGGTCAAAGATATCTTTCAGGATGCTTAGGCTTCTTATTACATTTGACCATTTATCTTTGAGAAAAATTTTCTAGGAATTTTCACTAACAAAATGCTACACTACCTTTAGCAAAACATCCTTCTCCTCATCATTTTCATTATCTGTTTTTCAGTTTTACCTGGTTTCTGTGGTACTTTTCTTACTAGTAGTGAGACAGAACTTTTAAAATATGCGTATGAAACATTTCTATCTCCTCCTTTTAGAAGAACAGTTTATTTCTTTTATTCATTTCTTGGTTAAAGATCTACTATTTTTCTTACTGTTTAGTTTTTTGCACATTAAAAGGGCTGCTTCAAGACATTTTATGTAAATATTTTCCCAGGCTGGTGTTTGTTACACATATCTGTCTGTGTTTTTATGTGTTATGTATACACACACACATAACACATCCTTATATTTTTAAACAGAGAAATTTAAAATTCTATGTCAATAATCTATCAAGATTCTGGGAGAGGATTTTCTATGGCTTTAAAAATTAGTATGTTTTTATCCATTTGAGAAATATTTGCCAGCATATTTCCCTAGTTTTTAAAAAGGATTTTCATATTTAACTCCTTAGTAATGAGAATTTGATTTAGGTAAGTGACCTAAATGGCCACATATACATATAAACTGGCTGCATTTTTCAGTTAACTCATAGTTAACAGGGTTTCCTAATACCATACAAGGGAACAATTCTTCCTTTCCTCACTGATTTATCTTATGAATTTGTATTATACTACTAGTTATTTCAGCTTTGTTATTACTTTGGCTCGTATGAAGAAGTTCAAAGATAGCTTAGTTCCTAACAACCAGTTTTTTTTCCCCCCAGCATAGCTATGATTTTTCTTTAAAAAATTCTTTAAAAATCAAACTTTCACTAGGACATTTCTAAGACACTGGCGTCTTTTCATTAATCGGTCTGGTAATAGATACTTTCATTTTATAGACTGGGGACTTCAGCACAGGAAGGCCTTTGTATTTGGTCTTTATTATCTCTTTTTACACATGCTGGTCTCTTCTTTGACAACACTGATAAACCATGTGCACAATCTATCTCATATCCATCTCTCATTATCAACAATAATAACTAACATTTATCAGTGGCACTATGTATCAGACACCCTGTTAAGAGGTTTACTTTTAGGGTCTTACTGAATGTGAAAAATCCTGTAAGGTAAATATTACAATCCTCATTTTGTGGCTCAACATAATGGCTCATGCCTGAAATCTCAACACTCCGGGAGGCTGAGGCAAGAGGACTGCTGACTGCTTGAGGCTAGGAGTTTGAGAACAGCCTAGACAACATACCAAGACCCTGTCTCTACAAAAAAAAATTTAAAAATTAGCCAGGCATGGTGGTGTGTGCCTACAGTCCAAGCTACTCAAAAGTCAGAGGCAAGAGGACTGCCTGAGCTCAGGAGTACAAGACTGCAGTAAGCGATGATTGTACCACTACATTCCAGCCTGGGCCATAAAGTGAGACCCTGTTTCTAAATCAAGAAAAACAAAAACAAAAACCACCTCCATTTTACAGATGAGGAAAATTAGGCTTACTTAAACTTATCCAGAGTCACAAAGCTGGCATAGGTTGTAGCCTATGCTATTCCTATGCCTAAGCATCTGGATCCTAGAGCTACACTGTTAACTACAGTTTTCACTTATCTTTTTTTTCTGTATTCTTGTGTGCTTCTGAAAATAGTTTTCTATTCTACACTATTGATCTGATATTTTAAAGTGTCAACTTTCTCTTTTACCACCAAAAATGTGGAATGAATTGAAGCTTACCTTTTGAATTTCTTTAAATTCATTTTATCTGAGATGTCTTTTTAAACTCAAAATCGTGGGACTCTCTTTTCATCTCTTCATTAATAGAAATTGTTTTCTTCTATTTTATTGAGAACACACTCTAAAATAATTCCGTTTCTTACAGCAAAGCATTTTAAAATATACTTTGCCTTTACTTACTTTCGTTTTTTGGGAAAAGAGGGACAGAATCTCACTTTGTCACCCAGGCCGGAGTGCAGTGGCATGATCTTGCCTCACTGCAACCTCTGCCATCTGGTTCAAGTGATTCCTGTGCCTCAGCCACCTGAGTGGCTGGGATTACAGGTGTGTGCAACCATGCTGGGCTGAGAATGTCACAGTTTCTATTTCTTTCCTAGGAGATGGAGTCATACCCATAAGCTAAATCCTAGGTGTGGTCATCTGGTTCGGAGCCCTCCCTTACCACTAGGTCCTGGGCTAGTTAGTCTTTACAGAGAGATCAAGTCAGAACAGCATGATCAATTACTCTAAATTCAGTTTGTTGCAATTAAGGATTTAGGAATTAGCACCTGAAAGGAACCATAAATGTATAAGAAGGTCTAATTTTAAGTAATTAACTTACTTCATTAAATGAATATTTACTGGCATGGCAATGTAAAACAGGATAAAAATAGTTTTAAAGTTTCAACAGTATAAAATAAACATACTGTGACAGTTTCAAGTTTCTGTTTGACTAGCTGCATCTTTGTTGAAGAATTTTCAGTGTGGACATATTCACCAATCTGAAAAGAGCCTTGATGGGATAGTTTTGGAGAGGTACATAGGGCATCTTGACTTTGGTGTATTCCAGGTAATGGAAATATTCCGTTGTAGCGTTTGCACATTTCAACCTCCTGCTGGGCAACTGAAGAAACAAATCCACAATTAGTTTAAATCATCATAGCAAAAGCATAATCAAATAAGCCCCAAAACTGTAGCATTCAACAAATAATCAAAAACTGCATAACACATCTTAAAAACTGGGTAACAGTAAGACATCACGACTAGCAAAATTTGAAATTATTGGATGCTTTGAAATCATAAGGAAGGAAATATAATTTCAGGTCAGGCAGCATTATAATTGAGCTATGAAGGTGATGTAAATTGGGATGGGAGAATAACTTTAAATATATGTATGTAGAAAAATATTAAAAAATCAAAAGCGTAACAATTAAGGGAGAAATGCTAAAGTGATAATTATTCACAAGCATCTTTAAAACAACTGTTTTTATATTTCTGTATATTTTTTATACATACATTCTATGTAAGATATCATAATGTAAATACAATTTAACATTTTTCAACTTAAATGGAAATATTTCTATTTCTACAATGACATCATTACCATTATTAATGTTTTACAGTATCTCATTTAATGAAGCATCATAATTTTTTTTTTACATTCTCTTATACTGACTACAGTTGGCTCTCTATATCTGTTCTCCATTCATGAATTCAACCATGGCTCAAAAATATTTTTTTAAAAAAGTAACAATAAAAAACATAGTATAATGATTTATATAGCATTTGTATTGTATTAGGCATTAAAAATAATCTATAGATTATTTACATGTCCACAGGTTATATGCAAAACTATGTCATTTTATGTAAGTACTAATTTTAGCTTCCATATATTTGGTATCTCCAGGGGTTCTGGATCCAGTCCTCTATGGATAACAAGAGATAACTCTATAGTGTTCTCTGTTTTCCCTTATAGATCATGCAAGAATAAGTACTTGATAGCTGACTTTGTTTGTTTGTTTGTTTGTTTCTTTCTTTTTTTTTTGAGACAGAGTCTGGCTCTGTCGCCAGGCTGTAATGCAGTGGTGTGATCTTGGCTGACTGCAACCTCCACCTCCTGGATTCAAGCAATTCTCCTGCCTCAGCCTCCCAAGTAGCTGGGACTATAGACGTGTGCCACCATGCCCAGCTAATTTTTTCTATTTTTAGTAGAGATGGGGTTTCACCATGTTGGCCAGGATGGTCTTGATCTCCTGACTTCATGATCTGCCTGCCTCAGCCTCCCAAAGCGCTGGGATTACAGGTGTGAGCCACTGTGACTTTGTTTCTTAACATAATTCCTATTTTGGATTTAATTCTCTAGAGTGAGGAAGATGGCTCAAAGGGTGACTGTTTTAATGATGATGATGATGGCAATGAGCATAGTAGCACGTGTGCGGCACTTTACATTTTTTGGGGTGCTATCACATACACATTACTTTATTTGATCATTTAAAACACATGAATTTGAAACATTTTTAAATATCTGCCTATATGTACAAAGGAGAAAAAAATACATAAATTCATCATTTAAAAACGTATTTCCTTAGTTATATAATCTTGAAATTGAAATCCTTCCTAAACATGACATGAAAGAAAGAAATCTCTAAACAGGGATTCATAATGTGGAATCAATGATGAGCCTTCAGGAAGTCTATGGACCACTGAAATTATCATGGAAATGTGAATGTGTATATATAAATGTTTCTGGAAAGAAGATTCGTAATTTTTATCAGGTTATCCATCGATGGATTACATGAGTCAGAAAAGGTTAATAATTATCAACATTCCTACGGACCTGGACCAATGAACAGATTTTGTAACATGAACATTTAAAGAGTCGTCATTAAAATAAAAAAACTGGCTAGGCACAGTGCCTCATGCCTATAATCCCAACACTTTGGGAGGCTGAGGTAGGCGGATTGCTTGAGCCTAGGAGTTTGAGACCAGCCCTGGCAAGACAGTGAGACCCTGTCTCTACAAAAAATTTAAAAATTAACCAGGCAGGGTGCCATGTGCCTGTAGTTTCCAGCTGCTTAGGAGGCTGAGGTGGGAGGATCACTTGAGACTGGAGGTGAAGGCTGTTACTGCATTCCAGTGCAGACTGGATGACAGAGCTAATATGATTTTTAAATAATAATATTTAAGAACAAAATATATAAATAAATGACCACAATAAAAATTAAAAAGGAAATGACATAATAGGTTTCTTCCATTTCTGACCAAAATGGAGTAGGGACTAGATTTACTCTGCTGCTCAAAACTACCAAAAAATGGACAAATTGTATAAAAGAAATAATAACTCTTTCTTTGCAGACATTATTGCCTAGGTAGAGCTAAAGTGGAATGAGGCAAGAGAAGCACACTGGACGCAAAATTTAAGGAAGTTCTCACTCTGAGGTCCTGGCTCCACTGCTGTGTAAAAACTCTAAATGGAATCTAAAAAACCAAAGCACTAGAATTGACTTTAGCAAGGTTTAAGGAGATGAGATCAAAATACAAAAATTATCTCTATATCTATATACAAGTAATGAAGAACGAAAAACTGAAATTAAAACAAAAATATATTCCATTTACTATGGAATAAAAAATATGACATACTTCAGAATAAGTGTTATGAAAGATGTGAAAGACCTGTACACTGAAAACTAAAAATACTGCTGAGAGAAAGTGACAAAACAATTTGTCACTGCGTTCACGGAGTGGCACACCCAGTATTGGTAAGATGTAAATTCTCCCCAAATGATCTGTAGCTTCAATGCAGTCCCACTCAAAATTTCAGCAGGTTATTTTTGGAGAAATTGTAAAATAAATTCTAAAATCGACATGCAAATGAATATTACCTAGAACAGCCAAAACAACTTTGAAAAAAAACAGAGAATTAATACAACCTAACTTCAAGTCTTATAAAGCTACAGTAATCCACACAGTTTGCCACTGGCATAAAGATAAATAAATAGATCGAAAGAACAGCATAGAGAGCCCAGGGTATACAGACAAAGTATAAAGGCCATTCAGTGGAGAAGGACAGTTTTTCCAACAAATGGTATTAGAGATATTCATACGTGAAAAAAAAACCAACTTTGATCTACACTTCACAACATGTACAAAAGTAACTCAAAATGAACCACAGATCTAAATGTAAAACCTAAAGCTATAAGACTTCTAGAAGAAAACAGAGAACACTTTTGTGAGCTTGGGTTAGGCAAACATTTCTTAGATACAACACTAAAATGCATAAGAGAACAAACTGGTAATTTGCACTTCATCCAAATTTCAAACTTATGTTCTTTAATCTGTTAAGACAATTAGAAGACAAACCAGAGTGGGTGGAAATACCTGCAAATTGTATGCCTGATAAAATACCTGTATCCATAGCCGGGCGCGGTGGCTCAAGCCTGTAATCCCAGCACTTTGGGAGGCCGAGGCGGGTAGATCACGTGGTCCAGAGATTGAGACCATCCTGGTCAACATGGTGAAACCATGTCTCTACTAAAATACAAAAAATTAGCTGGGCATGGTGGCGCGTGCCTGTAATCTCAGCTACTCGGGAGGCTGAGGCGGGAGAACTGCCTGAACCCAGGAGGCGGAGGTTGCAGCTGAGGCAGGAGAATTGCCTGAACCCAGGAGGTGAAGGTTGCAGTGAGCCGAGATCGCGCCATTGAACTCCAGCCTGGGTAACAAGAGCGAAACTCCGTCTCAAAAAAAAAGAAAAAATATCTGTATCCAGAAAACACAAAGAACTCTCAAAACTCAATAGTCAGAAAACAAGCCAACTTAAAAAATGGACAGAACATTTGAAAGGACACTTTACTGAAGAAGTTATATGGATGACAAATAAGCATGCAAAAAGGGTGCTAAGTATCATTAGTCATTAGGGATAAGCAAATTAAAACCACAATAAAATAGCACTGCATGTATATTAGAATGGCTAAAATTCAAAAGATTGGCTATTTCAAAGTTGGCAAGTACATTCACAACATTAGTGAATGTACTTAAATGTAATTAAATGGCACGACCACGTTAGAAAACAGTCTGGCAGCTTCTTAAGAAGTCAAACATAATCTGCAATATGATCTAGCCCTTCTACTCCTAGAAATTCATCGAAGGAAATGAAAGCATATGTTCATACAAAGACTTGTATGTGAATATTTGGAGCAACTCTACTTGTAATAGCTAAAACGTGGATACAACCCCAATGTTCATCAACAGGTGAATGGATAAACAAACTGTGGCATAGTCATACAATTAACACCCAACAATATAAAGAATAAACTGATGAAAAATGCTAAAACACAGATTGATCTCAAAGTAGTTATAAGTGAAAGAAGCCAGACAGAAAAGAGTACATGGTCTGTACAGTTTCACTTGTATACAATTCTGAAAAATGCAAACTAATTTACAGTGGTTGCCTGGGGTAAGGGTGAGGAAAGAACAGAACACAAAGGGCACAAAGTAACTTTTGGGGATGATGAGTAAGTTCATTATCTTGATTGAGGCAACGGCCTTACAGGTGTAAAAATGTCTACACTTATCAGATGGGACATTTAGATATGCTCAGTTTATAATATGTCAATTGTATCTCAATAAAGCCATTCACCAAAAAAAAGCAAATGAAAAAATTGTGATGAAAGAGGTAATTATTCTTACTATGCAAAGAGTTCCCATAAAATCCATTAAAAATTAATAAACAGAAAAATGGGCAAAGAACCATTAAAGAAAATTCACAAAAGAACTATGTGTCCAATAAAAGATACTTAACTTCACTATAAATTAAAGGAATTAGTAATAAAAATGTAAATTAGAAAGTTATGCTTTTTTTTTTTAATCTGTTTAACTGACCCCTTGTAACTCAAGATATTCCCTGAGGAACTAATTAAATAAGGGTAGCTAGGTATATACTGAAGCACTACTTAAATGTTGAAAAAGATATAACAGTGTAATTGTGCAACAACAGTTATTTACTACACTGTGTTCATTTAATGAAAAGGAATTTAGCCACTAAAATTATGTACAGAAATGTAATTAACACAATGGAAAACTGCTAATATATTATCAATTGGAAAAAATAATTAATAAAACAAT